GATGGACTCACGCATACCGGTCTTGAAGACCAGGGCTGATATTCCCAGCTCGTACAGATTACCCATGTCGCCACAGTCCTACAGTGAAGCTGTGCAAAGTCAGCCAAGTGGATGTGGCTCCACCCCTGTTAACACGACTAGGTTAACAGATCCGAGTGGGAAAATTGCACTAAGTGAGAACTGCATAACACCCATCCCCATGGTAGACCATGAAACAAATAGGAAGGCCAAAAAGAAACGTTCACGACGTCGCAAGACGACAAGAACGCTCCCCAAGAAGGCAGACGACTGCAAGGTCTGCGCTTCTGTTGTCGAACAAGCAGACTCTGCTTTCGAATGTAACTTTTGCAAGCGATGGGTGCATTGCAGATGCGACAGTGGGGTACCAAAAGCATATTATGACTTTATGCGTAAAAACCCATGCCAATGGTTCTGGTACATATGCCCGAGTTGCCGTCCTGATGTAGCCTCGCGTAGTCCTTTGAAAACTAAAGATGGTGCAGAAGTAGCGGGGAAAAATATGAAATGCTCGACCCCCACCAATCCGGAAATTAGTACAAATGCGCGTAAACCGGGGATACCAAAATCCTCACCGGTTAAACTTGTAACTCTTGACATAACCGCTCCAGACACAGAGGCTGGAGAACCACGGGTTTCCGTCGTTGGAAAAAGACCCCTCTCGTCTGCCAGTAATATTGGCCATAGCACTGAGACACAAAAAATACCCAGTCGCACCAGACAAACCAAAACGGTCTTAAAGGAAATCACAAATGTGCGAGGACCGAGCCCAAGCCCACGGTTAGCAGATCAAATTGTGTAATCCTCTTTAATGTACCAGACTGTAGCAGTAGTCTGCTGAAAGATAGGGCCCTATTTGATCAGGAACAGTGGTCCATCTTGTGTAGCACACTGGGTTTGGACATCCAACCAGTAAATCTATGCAGATTGTATAGGGGCACTGCTGCACCTGAAGGCAAACCATCCCCACTGAGGGTAACATTGGGCTCTACCGAGGATGTTGAAAAAGTGTTACTGGCTTCTCAAGTCCTTTCTATAGGGAGGGCCTGTAACATACGTGTTAAGCCAGACAGGCCGTGGAAGGAAAGACAAATGGCGAGGGAGTCGCCAGAGCTCATTCCTTCTGCCTCCATGGTTGTGCATGGCATTCCCGAACTGGTAACTGGGAACGCCTGCGAAAAGCATTGTCATGATGTACAACAATGGAGATGGTTGGCATCCCAGATGGCCCTGGGAGTTCAGGGGCTGTCTCTATTTATAGACTGCCTCGACCCACTCATCTTATGTCAATTAACTCGCCACGTCTGTTAGCTGTCAAGTTCAGCTCCCAAGACCAGTTGACTACCGCTCTCCATAGATGGTACGAGACCAAGGACAAGGTCAGCAAACACATTCGCTGCTGCGAGAGCCGGCCTCGCACTCAAAGGAGAGAACAAAGCGTAGTAAAAAAAATCCTCAACCCCTAGTCACACTACAGCGGTGCAGCACGGACGATGATAGCCAGTGTCATCCGAGTGCTCCGACTGAACTAGAAGAAAAAAACGCCAACAGGCCGGTTCCTGGGGAATCGGCCAACTAGTTCGTAGGATAACTCCTCAACCGATAGCCAATATCAAGTCAACTACCCCCCAATACGGGGAAGTGGTGAGACTGACTACCAGTTGCCTGTACAGTAATGTGAGAGGGCTAAGAGGCAAAATAGCTGAACTTAGACACCTACAATCACAACTGAACTCCAAAATCATAATACTGACGGAAACCTGGCTAACCCCTACGGTGGCAGACAGCGAAGTCAGTATAAATGATATGGTCCTAGTCAGGCGAGATAGGGACCTGAAAGAAGGAGGTGGAGTCGCCATATACGTCGACAAACAGCTCAGATGTGTTCACGCGATGGACCCTCCCCTCACAGAGCTCCCTGACTCCATATGGTGCCACTTCACCGTTGGGTACTGCAAATATCTAGTGGGCAGCATTTATCGATCACCTTCATGTGGAGCAGACCACAACCAGGTACTGCTAAATACAATCTCAGCAACTCAAGACATGGGTTATGATCAAATTGTCATAGCTGGTGACTTCAATGCCCCATCTCTTAACTTGGTGTCGGGAAAAGCCCATGATAGATTTGATCGAAATCTGCTGCATACCATCAGGAAGGCTGGATTCACTGAAAATGTCAAGATGGATACTAGATGGGGCCCTGATGGGAAGTCTTCTAGACTGGATTACGTGCTCACTAGTGACCAGCTACTAGTGGAAAACGTTCAGATCACGACTCCCATAGGTAGTAGTGACCACGCGGTCATAGTATTCGACATAGTCCTCCGCGAGCGCTTACAGTGGGACAATACACAGCCCTATCTGTGTTATAACAAAGCCAACTACACCAAAATGCGAAGACTTCTGTCTGAAGCAAATTGGCCTAAAAAATGGACAGAGCTAACAGTAGAAGAACACTGGAGAGTGGTAAAGGAGATCATTCACCAGGCGGTCTCAGACACTGTTCCTTTAGTCTCACCAAAAGCTAGGAAGCAACGATCATGGCTAAAAAGGGGGACACAACGCCTTCTGCAGGCGAAGCGAAAAGCCTGGTTCGCGTGGCGACGATCGAAGAGTCAACCCGAACATGAAGTGTACCTTGAACTCAGGAATCGATGTAACATACGAGTCCGGAGCGATAGAAGGACATTTCAGGGAGACCTCGCCAATAAGCTTCTCGTGAACCCCAAAAGCCTATACAGGTTTATGTCCGAAAGAAAACCGACCAACCAGGGAGCATGCAATCTAGTGGGTTCTGATGGGAAATCTCTTACTAGTCTTGAAATGGCAGAGACATTCAGCCTAGCCTTTCACAGGCAACTAAACAGTAACGAGGATATTACCCCTACAGAACATCCAGATTACATCGCAAAACCAACACGCGAAAACCTGCTGGGTACATTTCAAATTACCCCGGCTATGGTACTTGCAAAATTGGGAAGGTTGGCTTCGGGAAAGTCTTCAGGTTGTGATGGCATCAGACCATCTGTCCTGAAGCAGTGTTCAGAAAGTCTCTGCCAACCCCTAAGTGATCTGTTCCAACACTCCCTTGATGTAGGGAAACTTCCATGTGAATGGAAACGTGCAATCCTATCCCCTATCTTCAAGGGTGGTGACCGGCAGAATGTGACCAGTTACAGACCAGTTGCTCTACTTCCAGTGATATCGAAGATATTGGAAAGTCTCATTGACGACCACATGAGAAAATACTTCGATGGGACTAACCTTCTTCACGAAGCACAGCACGGTTTCAGGAGGGGAAGATCCTGCGTGACGAATCTTCTACTAGCTTGGAACGATTGGACACTATCCTGGGACAAAAAGGTACCAGCCCACGTGATCTTTCTCGACTTTGCGAAAGCATTCGACACAGTTCACCATGGTCTGCTCCTTCACAAAATAAGCAAGGCGGGTGTTTCTGGAGCACTTCTCGCATGGCTGAAAGATTACTTAGGCGAGAGAGAATTCTGCACCAAAGTCAACCGCATCCGATCATCCTGGCACACCTCGGCATCAGGGGTTCCTCAGGGTTCTATCCTAGGGCCGTTGATGTTTTTGATTTTTATCAACGACCTGCCCTCCCAACTAAACTGCTCTGCGCTTCTTTACGCTGACGACGTAAAGATTTGGAGAGCAATAAACTCATCGGAAGACTCAGATAGATTGCAGGCTGACCTGCAAACTCTGGGAAACTGGGCTCTGGCTAACGGAATGCCTTTCAACCTAAAGAAGTGCAAAGTAGTGCAACTTCATTCCGGCAGGTCACAGAGTGTAAATTACACCCTTGGTGGCCAGAACTTGAGTTGTGTTCCATCAGAGCGTGATCTAGGTCTTATTCTAACAGAAAAGCTAGACACCAGTGGAAATTACTCGAGGGACGTCGCCAAAGCCTACGCAACATTACACTTTATGCATAGGCAGCTGGGAGCTCTCACTCCCGAACTGTTCTTAAGGTTATATAAGGCATATGTGAGGCCACACCTTGAGGTGCATAATATCATTGCACCTCCGCTACTCAAAAGGGATGCTAACATTCTAGAAAGTGTCCAGAGACGAGCGACAAAATGGGTGATCGGCCTCCGCAACAAATCATATGAGGAAAGACTAAAGAAATTAGGTCTTTTCACACTTAGTTACCGTAGGCACAGGGGAGACCTCATCACCGTCTACAAGATCCTAAATGACCAGGCCCACCCAAATAAAAGCATCCTGCCATTAAGTGATTATAGGCTTCCACGAGGTAACCCGCTAAGGATAGCACACCAGAGACCAAAGACTCGAGTGCGATCACATTTCTTTTCGCTTCGTGTTTGCCGTCTCTGGAACGCTTTACCGGCGGCCGTGACTACAGCGCCATCTCTGGAGATTTTTAAGCGGAAGCTAGACAATCATGCAGAAATGCAAGGTTTGTGTCTCAATGGCTTATCCTCATAAAACTTGAAACCACACTGTCAATGGTTAAGCGTACAAACTAAATCCCCACGACCTATTCTGCCTTCTCTCACTCTATCTTTTCCTTAGGTCACCTTTATTATTCCACTTATCTCAACCTATATTATCTACACTACAACCCATTATTTTTATTCTTATTATTATTACTACTATTCTGCTTTTATGACTACACCGAATGACCAACGGGAGTTAGGTCAAACTCCATTCACGGCAGCAATACAGTCCTAACATACTGCATACTACAAACCACATCTCGACCAATCCCCGCACCACTCCTCCTGGAGTCTACCAGAGCTAAAGCAGTCGAGTGGCGGGACTTACTACGCAGAAGCTCACCGAAGATCTGGAACCTCTACCTCACAATCAAGAAGCGAGCTCAAAGAAATCACTGGTTTATACTAGCTCGTAATCAGGATATTGGATATTGGATATATTAAATGTAGAAGAGTTCAGGTGGTGTCAAAATTTTGTCTTTACTCTGGCTAATTCAAAAAGAAGTGAAGGAATCAAACATTAGCTAAATGCAGAATATTTTCAAGCTGTACGTATGAATAAACCCCATGGTTTTCGTTTTTCGTAATATATGGAGTTTGAAGCATTCAATGACCAGCGATAATGACATTGTCGTCAGGCTTTCAAGGTCAGTTGATGGGTATATAACACTTTTGAATCCAAGGGTATGCGTGGTTTTGCATTGCACAGATGTAAGTTAATCGAGTTTGTCTTTGTTTGATACCGCTTTAACGCATTGGTTTGTCCATACTGTTGAATAATTAACTAACTTTCCTACGAATACGTGAGACCTTCATGATAATTCATTTCTTCTTGTGAAAATTAATTTGCATAATTGTTAATTAATGACTATGTATAAACAGGTGTAGGAGCAGTTGCTTTTGACTAATTTTTCACACTAATGTAACTTTCAACTGTTAAGCTAGATGGATGCTAGTGTACTTCTTCTGTAGTGTGCTTTGACAGTCAGTCTGACTTAGAGTCTAATTTAGTGCTTTTTATTTTCCACTTTCAGCCAGCCAGACGTATTGTACAATACAAGAAAATGTAAATTTTATTAATTCTGATAATGTCTGTGAATCTCCAGGTCGTCTAAAATCACTGCAAGTTATGAAAATGTTTCCGAAGTGGCAGATCACATCAGAAAGCTGATAAATATTAAGCCAGAAATTGGCATCGTTTGTGGAAGTGGTCTTGGGGAGCTAGCCAATGGTGTTCAAAATGCTACAGTTATCCCATATGTAGATATACCTGGTTTCCCGAATTCAACTGGTAAGCATTTTGAAATCTTTTCCAAGTGCTTTAGTACAAGGACACTCTGGAAACTTAGTTTTCGGAACGCTGAGTGGCCGTAAAGTGGTTGTGATGCAGGGACGATTCCACATGTATGAAGGATGGACAAGACATGAAGTAACCATTCTAATACAAATCTTTAGATGTTTATCGTAGATAGCCATTCCTATTCGCGTCATGAAGCTGTTGGGAGTGAAGACTCTATTGTTGAGCAATGCTGTTGGTGGTTTAAACAGAGATCTTAAAGGTGGAGATTTCGTTGTTCTGAAAGACCATCTTTACTTTGCTGGTCTTGGTTTAAATGGTATTCTAGTTGGTGAAAATGAAGACAAGTAGGTCACTTTTGTTTCTAGTGATTTGTACCTCTTTAGATTTGGCCCTCGATTCCCAGCTCTTTCAGATGCCTACGACTCCGACCTGAGAAAGTTGGCCATAAAAATAGCGAGAGAGGAGAAGTTTGGAGACGTTGTCCACGAAGGTGTCTACGGAATGAATGGTGGTCCATGTTATGAAACACCCGCTGAGTGCAAAATGATGCTCATGATGGGTTGTGATGTTGTTGGTAAGTGAATTATTTTCTGTGTGATTTGACTGGATAAGTTGGGCAATGTTCGTCAATCACCATCAAAAGCTAGTTGTCAGGAAACTCTGTTCCACTACGGTACTGAACATGTGTTAGTCAACAGTAATACCGAAATTCGCAGGGAGGGACTGAGGCAGAACTAACTCTACTAAACTAGATGGACTTCAAGCCCAGGGAAACAGGTACAAAGAAGTTGAAGTATGGTCACGTAGGTCGGAAGTACACGAAAAAGTGTTATTTGGATAGTAAGTAGGAAACACAGTTCCGTTAAAAATATGAAGATAGGTTCTAGTGACTAGCATAGTGGAGATAGAAAAGGAAAATTGGAAGTATCTGACTGGGTAAGTTTGAAGTTCTTGCATACAATGCATTTATGTAGTCTGTGTCTATAGAAAGCGCTACTGAGGAATGGTGCTAACCATCACCGAATCTGCACAACTGTTTGGTGGAGATGAGAACAAGGCCGAAACATGAGTCATCAGGTGAACGAATAGGCGGAATAAATATGGCTTTGATGTCTGAAACAATCGACAAAGTTGGGTATGAAGAAGCCACATGGCTGGAGAATTTGTCGGCCTAAACTGAAATGAATGGAGTCGCTCAGTGTTGAAATATATCAATGATATCCGATTGAAATGCGTAGTGATGTGATCCACTAAATGTTTCCTATTTCTATTCCAGGTATGAGTACCATCCCTGAAGTGATATTCGCTCGTCACTGTGGAATGAAAGTACTTGCAATTTCATTAGTGACAAATATTAGCGTTTTGGACGTTGACAGTAAAGTATGTGCAAATCATGAAGAGGTGTTAGCAATGTCGAACAAACGTGCGACTCTATTACAGTCATGGTTCGCCAAGATTATTTCCAGATTACCATCTGAATAAATGAAATGTGCAATATTGATTTTTGTATCCAGAAATGTGAAGATTTTCTTTCTAATATTTTGTACTTATTACTTGTAGTTTATTTTTAAGAGAATGAACACTTTCCTTGCAAATATATCCAGTTCGAAATATTTACAAATGAAAATAGTTTTGAATTCTTATTTTTATGCACGGTGGTCAACCTTAGCTGTTGATGAGTTGACGGTTGAAAGGGATTAGGAACAGTTAATTGTACGCCGACTTCATACTGACATATCTTGCGAAAACTGTTGAAAGGTGGAACAGTAGGGATATGCATTGGAACCGAACTCATGAAACTGCAGAAGAATAAATAAGTAGAAGTGGAGAAATGTGATACCAGAACTAAAATAGGAATGAATTATTGGTGCATTTAACCCCCTGTCATCTATCGAAAATATCCAACTATCAGCTCTATTCACCACAGCTGATATAAGTCAAGTAACCGATATACCTCAAGTAAAATGTCAGTGGTATTATTCACTGGTTTTGTGTCATAGTTTATCCACTGAGTGTTGTTTCAACGTAATGTAACTGCACTCACTGTTGGACGTCGAAGTAAATTGTCTCTAGGATATATCTTAAACCTGTTTCATTCGTTTAGGAGTATTTCCTAAGAAAAACCCTCTGAGTGGTTGGTTGGGATATCTGCATACTATTTGATGTGTAAGCTACAATAATTATTGATCAGGGAATGTGTTCTCAACAGACTGATTTTTCCACTTCCTACACTCCGGTGTTGGATAAATCGCAATACTTTACCTCTTGTCGCTCATTCCGAATGCCTTGCTAAAATGCGAATTAGGAATAATATCGATGCAAATCATCTGTGCTGTGGTATTAATTCTACAACGAGTAAGACTGAATGCTGTCAGACAGCTATTAATGATAATAATAGACGCATGGATGCTTCACCAAAGAAGGTCAAGCCAGACCTATATATTCAGATATTCTTCTCATTTCTCTCCGACCAGAGAGCAGATGGGCAGCACAGTATATTCAATAGATCTCTACATACTGACATCTTTAGGGACATGGATATTGAACTGTTGCCATTTTCTGGTAATATGGATGATATTTAATCGTGTCATACACAAAGCATCACATAGTTTATAGTTTCTGAAAATGTTCAGCGGTGTGTTCAATGGGTGAGACGTACATGTAAGACAAGATCGTTGGTTGTCTTGTAAAGTAACAGCGACTGGTGCATTCAAGTTTTATTGCTTATTTCTGTGAAACACTGTTGTTTACACATCTGTGAATATTCATCTTTACTAAACCTCAGTAATATCTGGAAGAGCATTTATTGATCTGGACAATTTTGTACTTAATCTTCAGATTATTGAACTGATCCATGAAAATATTGTGTATAACAGCGACTGTATTATTATCATCATCGTCAGAACACAAACTGGGTATAGTATGGGCAAGAAGAGGTGCGTCATGTTTTGTTCGAAGGCTAGGATACTACCACAGTTCACTCAGATCGAAGCAAGTGGCTACAGTAAGGCGGCACTCCTAAGTCCTTGACTTGATATCTGATCCACAAGGCAGTGGAGTAGCGTCAGGAGCTATTTTCTCATGGTTGATGCAATGTATATATGTAGGAAATATAACTTATGGGGGAAAACGTCTGATTTTCTCTCAATGACCAGTACTTGTCAAACTAGTTTGTGAAATCTGCATCAAACTTCCTACACAATACTCTCTTCTTTTGAAAATGACAGTATTCACTTGTTTCCAGTTTCATGAAAAAGTTACTGAGATTTCCACTCTCCACATCTGTAGACACTTCTTACCACTGCTCAAATCTCCATGTAACGTGCTTTGTGAGCCATCTTTGCTAGGTGGGATGGCAGAAAGCATGTCAAATACACACTGGATGCCGACTAGTAGAGACCGATTGTTGTGGTGTACTTTAGTCAAGGTGTCTTCTGCACGGAATTCTTCCACGGTCTCACCGACATGTTTGCATCTGAAAATGGAACTCAACTGATCAAGTAATTATATATCTATCCGAATTCCGTAACAAACCTACAGTGAAAGTGGGTTTTTGTTGAAGCTATCGAGTAATGGCGACGCATGATTCAGGAAGCTGACACAAATACGTCTACGACAATTAAGCATCTCTCAGATTTCCTAACCTCAGTGATATGCAAGAAACGATAACTGGTGACGCTCAATCTGCTCCCAAGAAATTAAGCTGAAAACATTTGTTATTTTTTGTACACCTCTTTCATTCCCACTGCAAGTTAATGGAGATTTATGTGATGGACTGAAGTGACAATGTCCGGTATATAACAATTAACTCTCAATCTTGTGTTATATGTATGATACCGCTCGATTCACATCGGAGGAACTATTTTGATCCTTTCAATATCCGACGTCTATTTTTAGGATGATGCTTCCAGAGAGATGTAAGCATGATTAGTTGGTGAGGAATCGTATAGAAACAATCATACGAGAGAGTTTTAAACGGAGATGACTGATAAGTTCACTGAATCTGGGAATGAAGATTTCGAATTTCGGTAACTGATGAAGTTGTGAACAGCCAGCCAATTGACAGGGGTTCATCACCGACATACTTCAGTCGGCTACTCTTGTGTTCGCTGGAGAGTAATCTTAGACAACAGCTAGATCACTCTTGAATTCAGCTTTCCCACATATCATTATACTGTTTACGGACACTGATTCATATTTCTTGGGTTTTAGCCGAAACATGGTAGATTTCTACTTCCAACCGGAATCTTCCTCGCTGTATTTCGCTCTTCCTTCATATCATCAATGCTAATTCACATCTTAAACACTTTGTCTCATTCTACAATCAAATATCTGTGAATGTCTACTTTCTTTCAATACCTTCGCGACATTATAATCGGCACCAAAGATTTTGTTCCTTATCACCGGTAGTCTCCAGTCATCGGTTGTTAGCATACCGACAAATCCAGCCATGCAGTTTACGCCTCCCTACAGGGGTGGCTGTAACCAACAATCAAATTTTGATCAACTGGTGTCAGCTTTTGGTTTGACCTCTCTGAACTCCTGTACAAATTAATCTTATGTCTCTTAGCATTTAGTCTTATTAGCACCATTCATTCGTTAAGTTTTGAATGCATCATAGGGTATCAATGGTATATCTTGATTCCACTCAGTCTTGTGACGTCATTTCCATAACTACTCATTTGCTTTCGTTCCTTCTTCACTTCATCTTCTCCATATGAATTTCAAGCGTCCAACTCGTTGATTTCCTGTCAATTTGCATTCGAGAGAATGGCGTTTGATGTCGCTCGACAGTCTCTGCAGCCCATATGCAATCAACCCTTATTTCATTTTGCATACACGTTACTCAGTAAGTTCTTGGTCGGTTTCAATTTCGACTACGGATTATTATCAGTAAGAGAACCATTGCGAACTAGCAGGGAGTACTGGACAGCCGTTTCTTCGTAGTTTTGGACTCATCGTCGGTAGGCACCCACCACCAGGATTGAAAACTAGGGGCTTCCAGTTACAAGGAAAGCTCGTTGAGCATACAGCCACTGAGACTCAACTAAATGGCTAGTTGATGCATCCTATCTTCTATCGATTCGTGAGTTTGGTCGGTCACAAGTGAATACTGCCGGCAAGTATTTGTCCTCACTAGCAACCAGGTTGAACGCATTGGTGCGAATTATCATTAGAAATGCCGGCCACGTTTTTATGCTGCGAGTCACTAGTGGGAATCAGATTAGTATTGAAGAGTTAGTTTATAGGGTTTTCAGTGCTTTTTAATGAATCTTTTACTGATGTCAATCCGTAGTCCAACGACGAAAACAACCGAATCTTTACAAACTATCTCTTGAAAGTTCTTTATTAGTCTGCGACTGACGCCTTTCTTCTTCGAACGATCATTCAATTTTCACTGTCACTGCGGTAGAGGGAGTTGCTGATGAAGGTCACCACTACCACGTTAGAAATCAATTTGGTGACTCGTCTTTTTGCTAAGCCTCTAAAACATACACAAGCACTTGCACTATATTACTGTTGAAAATATACATAACCTTTGTGTACGGAGTGACGCAGATTTCGACATCGATTTCAAAGCCATCAAAGTCTGTTATATTCCATACACCATGTTCATGAACAGAGTTTAATTGATTGAAATTGAGACTACGTAAACCTTGAATTCGTAGGCAAACATTCATGTAGTGACTGCTGTTCCGACTGAAGTTGAGATGAAAATTTGATTTGAAGAGCTGAGTTCGACAGCGAAAGATGTGATTGAACAGCGTATGTGATGACAAACAGACAGTCAATAACGTATCACACACACAAACGCATTCAAATGATAGATGGGAATTCCGCGTGATCACTGCAGTGAAATGATGACCAGGTTAGCAGACGCTGAGTAGATGGCCGATGGTTTATTCCAGTGTAGGTTTCTGATTCTAGTCATGTTGTTATCCTGATTTTCACTACACTGTCAATCACCACAGCTCACCACAGCAACTTGGTTTATCACTTTACATAAATTGACAACTAATTACAAATGCCACACTAATCGTATCAATGTATATGATCTGATTTTAATCAGTGAATTGTACTCAACAAAGCCACATCAATTGATTGTGGCTTGTTTATCACAAATGACAGACAGTAAGAGGAAAAGTATGATTACAGGAAATATTCTTCGAAGCACAGATTTCCTCGAAGGTATTTATAATATCATATTCTGTTATGACTCTACTCACATATGTTGACTTGACATCCAACTAGGAGTTTCCACTACTCACTGAAAAGTGTCAATGTAGGTAGGATATGAGAATTTGGATTTTTGATCGTAATCTCTACATAAATCATAAATTCAGGCTTTTTCTTCTAATTCTTAGTGCAAACAACAAAATTATTTAATACTTCCCATGAAGGCGATTTTAGGACACGAATTAGGCAGGCGGATGTGAAATTTTGCTAAATTCTCATCAGGCCTATAATTACTTAATATCATTCTGTAATGTAATATCATTTTGCATAATATCTATTATCATGGTAACAACTTTTGGATAAAGCAATAAGAAGACATAATTTGTCTGAATCGTGTAATGTATTTGCGCAACACATTTCGAACAATCTCATTCATCACACAC